TCTGACAGTCTTAACCGTCATTAATGATATTTTAATCGGCACCCTCGAAATTTTGGTAGTACCACTATAATAAAAGTTTCTGTTAAAAAAATACACTAGACACTTTCTCTGAGAAGTACAATTTAGGATATTTAAATATTTTTTTCTTGTTTCTTTTTTGTTTTTTGTCCCTTAAGAGGGAGGAGATATAATGTCTGAAAACGTTATATTTTTTTTGAATAGAAAAATCTATTTACATATAAAAAGCCAGTGGCAATAAAAAAATGGCATCAGAGACGGCTGGGGAATGTCAATCGATTATAATTTTGGCGAGGTCAAGCCCTAGACATTATTTACTTGACATGTACTTTTCGTCATTTTTTAATGGCGCTTATTGCCACTCGGTCTTAAGTTGAAGAAAGGAAAGTTACAAATTATTTTTATATTGAGTAAAAATGATTTTAAAAGGTGTAGTTAAAATTCGAGACAAACCAATTTTTTTAAATAGATTTGTGTGTCTGGAAACGATCTTTTTTAATCTTTGTATAATTAGTGTTAATTATTAACAAGTTAATTTATAACAATTTTGAGTCAATGATGTATAGAGATTGACCTCGCCAAAGTTATCATTGATTGCCATTCCCCAGCAGTCTTTGCCTAACCGTACATAACATAGTACTATGGCTTTTTTCAAGAAATTTACGATATCGTAATTAATCGATCCTTTCTAAACTAAATTGTTCCTTTCAAATTTTCAAAGAAAAACATAATTATGCGAGATCCATTTCGCGTAGTAACTATTATGTTTTTATTTCCTCTATCTCAAAGCCATTCATCGTATACTAGCTTGTCAGGTTCTACAACTCCTATTTACCATATTGCCCGAGATATTCCCTTTTAAGAAATGATTTATAATTTTGCTTACTCCACCATGATGAATATTAAAAGATGTTGCCGGCATCCTTTTTGTTTCTCCTCGCCTTAATATTTTCTAACTATCTGAGAGGATTTATGTGGGGAAGCTGTGGACTTTATGAAAGTCAAATATAAGATGTAATTGATGGTTAGAATTTATCATGTTAGAAGGAAACTGAAATATGATCGCTTTATAAATTAAAATTTAATTTTTATATAGACGTTTTTCGTAGAGGTATGTATCAAATAGGAAAATTATTGCAATTTCCAGTCATCTAACGCTCTTTTTATGACATACGGAAATAAGAAAAAGAATTATCCAGAAATTATATCTCTATGATTTGTATCTATTGATTCAATATTTATTTGTTTCTATATCAAGTTGAAAAATCATATAGCTCGATCAGTTTTCCACTTTCAAAATTCAAATTTCACAATCATCTTCATCATCATCATTTTCAGCTTATTCAACCATTTCCAATTTATTCACATATTTAATTACCGCATTATTTAATGCGGTTTGTATATCTGATAATTTCCTAATATCGTGGTCCCATCTCAGCTTTGGTCTTCTTCTATATATATATATATATATATATATATAGAGAGGTCGCCAATATACATCTGGAAACAAAATGTTTCTCAGCTGATATCTTTCTAAAAGTTTCTGTTAATATATTTTTGATTCGATATACTCCTGAAGAAATTAAAATAAACCAACTAATTAATGATGACATATTATAATTTGTGATAAAATGCTATATTTTCAAATAGATTCTGTATACTTCCTCAATACGTAAAATATTCGAACTAAATATTTTTCATAAAATTATTTTATTCGATATAAAAAGCCGTCGGTTTTCTTCCGCAAAGTATTTCAGGAAGACTGAAAAAGCACGACGCTTCGAGGCAACAAATCAAAATAAAGTCAATCTTACATCCCCTGCATATACAAGTACGCGTACGCAACAATAAAGCAAAACGGTTCTTTATTCAGTTTTCCGCTCCGTAAATTCATATTCGTCCTTTTGAAAATAAGGGTCGCACTGAGGAAACCATTCATCAAAGAAGCGGTGATATTGCTCTAGCGACTTACAACCCAGAAAGCATCGAGGGATTATTCATGTATGTAAAAAGGACGCACTTTCTAGGGCCGGTCTTATTTAGGCTTTACGTTCTGTCAGTTTGAAATGTATTAAAAATTAATTAGGCAACACAAAATACTAGAGGAAAGGACCGAGGCTTGCAAAAAAGGAAGCGTTAAATAAAGTCTGAAATCTCGTAATTTATACGTCCCAGTAGAGATAATATAGATACTATGTAGTCTGTGATCCAAATTTATTCAAAAGTAGTTTGTATGGTGGTAGCACATATAGTTCATATCAAATAAACTTTTAGACACGTGATTAAGCTTGAACTGCACAGTGTTGTCCTCTTTTACATATTTTCTTTTAATCAAAATATTTTAGGAAACAAAAATAAATTAATTATAAATATATAAACAGTTACTATTTACATCAACAAAACTCATCTCTTTAAAATCACTAAACGGACTAAAGGGCCATTATAGGGCTCCTTTCCCGTTCAAAATATTCTAATAAAGTTGCGATTAGTTTTTATGGGTATGAAGCTATCTTGTAACACTTCGCACTAAAAAAGGTTCTAAAAAACATGTTCGACTTCAAGGTGTGCTAGTAAAAGTGTTTAAGCTTAAAATATCACAACACAATTCACTTAAACCAAAAATTCGTAATATAAAACTATAGTATCAAAACGAATGACAATATCAGAAAATAAATAAATAAACTGCAAACTCGACATTTCTTACAACAGAGCTATCATCTGAATCCCCAGCGGGAAATTTAAATTCCAGTTAGTCAGCCCGGCGACGAATATGTTGCCATGGAACAATGAATTTAACTAAAAGATTAATCAGTATGAAATCTAGATTTAGTTTTTAGCAAACTTTTTATACAAATAACAAATAGGTTAGGGGTTTTCAATTACCTGTCAAGTAAAAGATTACATACATGATGCAACTAAAACTGAGTACAACAAAATAGTTTAAAAAGAAACCTGGTTCTGTCTATCGCTATATCAGTTAATTAACCCTAAATACAAAACTGATCAGTTTATACTCGGTTGGCATTGTTGCCGAACATCAGTAACGATAGAGGATTTAATTATTATACCTGTTAATATTGTGTATTATGCGTATATTATATTGATTCTTTATAAGCGTCTAATTGAATAAAATTTATAGCTATGTATAAATCTCACTTAATATATAATATGTATGCAATGATTTTTATCCATTTCTTTAAACATATGTTTAGAAATACCATAATTTAGGTGCTTGACTTAGTTGTTGTTTCAAAATTTCTATAATGATTCTATGTAAGAGTAACAATGGGAAATAAAAAATGTCGAATATCTGGAAGGCATCACGTACATGTTTTTCGAAGTAATACACCGACGCAAATGAAACAACATTTTGTGAAGGGAACAAGAATTCAACAGTGACAATCATTTGTCACAGATAAATTTTCTCTCTCTCCAATCGTTCCTCATAGCTGAAGGTCGTGACTTCTATGAAAATACTGTTTATTTTATAAGATCTTTCCAGGCTAATCTGTCTTCAGCTCGATGGATAGCTGAGTGTAGGGGTAGACCCGTTGTTTGTCTTATTGATCGATCCATCTTGTTGGGGACCGACCTCTACATCTTTTTCCTTGGACATCACCAGTTAAAATAACTTTTTCCATGTTTTTGGCAGGTTTTCGAGCAATGTGTCCAAAATACTCGGGGATGCTTTTCAGGCAGATTGCCGACAGTCGGGTGCTTATGTTGAGCTCATTAATTATTGATAGATTAGTTCTTCTAGCTGTCCAAGGTATTCTCAGCATACGTCTGTAGCACCACATTTTAAAGCTGTCTATCATGCGCCTTTCCGATGCTTTGATGGTCCAGGATTCGACTCCATAATATTGAGAAGACGATTGTATGCGGCAAATTCTGTTTTGTGTGAGTTCTTATCACTCTGCTCTGCCATATTCTTGTAAGACGCGTTGTTGCAGTTTTTGCTAACTGTATTCTAGGTATAATTTCTATTTTACAATTGCCTTCGTCATTTATGTTTGATACTAGATAAACAAAATCATAAACCACTTAGATGCCAATAAGCTGAAAAGATCTTTGTAGGGTTTTTCCTCTGTCCACGAATATTAATTTCGTTTTTTGGCGGTTGATACCCATCTCAGCACTTATTTTCCACTCGCAACAGTGGACTCGCCATTTCTCCTTTACTGGTCGCAATTAATAGGTAACTAAATTTAAACATTACCAAGCCAGTTTAACATATTAGAAACGAAGAAAATACGGCATCAATAATGTCATTTTTTAAATGATGCTAGACAATTATCGAATTAAATTACAGCACAAAGTAGAGGTTGTGAGTATGTCCAAAGATCGTGTTTGTCATGTAATAATTTTTTGGGCTCTAATGAGTGGCAGATCAGCTTAGGAGCTTGAGAAATGAAGAATATACGGGATACTAAAAAACTGCATCTACTAATTTAAATTTTTAAATTCACCAAATGATGCTAGATAATTATGGAATTAAATTAAAAGATATAGTAGAAGCTCTGAGTACCTCAAAAGATCATATGTGTTATGTGCTCAATTAATATTTGTACGTGATAAAGCTATCCAAGTTTAACTAAAAGTGTGCTCAAAAGGCCATTTCCAATCTTTAGTGATGCCTTTTACCAAATAATTTTTTTTTCGGCCCCGCGCTGGTAAACTACAGACCAGTTTAGGTGATTGGGAGATGAAGAACATATGGGATATTTAAACACTTAATCCATGATGGTAATGTCATGTAAATTCATCAAATGTTGCTCGTTAATTATGGAATTAAATTAAAGGATATAGTAGATTCTCCGAGTATCTCCAAAAATCATATTTGTCATCAATCAAGATTTGTGCATAATAAATATATTCACATTCGCTCATTTCAGACAAAAAACATGTTCAAAAGAACATTTAACATAATAATAAGTCATTTTTAATTTAGTTTATATTTGAAACTTTATTTTGTATTTCAGAGCCCAGTCCACGATTAAGCTGAAAGTGGCGAAGCATCTTTTTGTGAACGGCAAACTAAAAGTACGATGTTCGGCAACCATGCACCATCTTTATCATAAAAGTTCGGAAAAGAGCGTAGAGCTTCAAAGGAAACGACATAGGTAAGTGTAATTTCAAGTTTCCGCTAAAGAACTCCTTTGCTAAGCGTGAAAACTAATTTTGAAGAAAGTTCCGATAAAGTAGAGGCACGATCTTCACAAAGGCTTTATTAAAATCTGCGGTTATTCATATGGATTTATATAACAGAATGTGGAGATAAAAATAAACGTTATTAAATTTGTGCATAATCATGCATAAACATGTGGCATTTTAATATATTTTAATACGATTAAAAATGCTAAATTATTTCTATACATGGACCTATTAACGCAAAATATATATTAAATGGGATGAATGCTTTTATTGAAATATATTTGTTCAAACGGATGAAGCCGAAAATTTTATTCAGTATATAAATTTAAATTATATAGTTATTAGCCATTTAATATAAAAAATGGCTCTATATTAATAATTATGAAAAAAATAATACAAAACTCAATTTAATGGGCTACAAAAACTTGGTAACTAAGTGGTCCTAATATGTTTTTTTTTATATGTGTTCTTTCTAGTATATCAAATTAGTCCCATCCTTCCGACCATGAAGGATGACCTACCCAAAGAACCACCCCTAAATACAACAGAAGGATAATATTATACTTTATATCTTTATATTTTGATTAACACAACCGACCAGAAGGATCACTGAGTGTTATCAAGTGTAAATTGTTTTGAAGAAAACAGTTTCTTGTGTTAATAAAAATAAATAAAGACAATGGAAAGTCCGAAATCCTTTTATTTTCAATAATGAGTAATTGTCTACCACATTCAAAGAAATAACTTTTTCTTGTAGCTCTGCCGGATTTTTATTTTAAATATTATTTGATAGTTAGTGTGAAAAAAGCATTTTAGCACAAAAATTACATTTTATTATTATAATGATGACAACATTCCCCGTCGTGGTTATCCTAGGATAATGACTTGTATCCTTTTAAATTAAAATTATGGTACGAAAAAAGTAAAACGATTTTTAGTCTAATATACAGAGGGTGGTCCGAACTGTATTCCGGAAACTTCGGCAGCATATTCTGCAGATAAAAATAACTAAAAAAGTTCGTATAAATGTATGTCCTAAAATGCTTACTTTCAGAGATACAGGGTGTAGAAGTTTCATTTTTATTTCGATTTTTTCTAAATAATTTCTGAAGTAATGTCAATATTTGGATAAAAATTGGTGTCTGGGAGTTTTTTTACATGAGATATTTGATTTTGGTGTTAGTATGACTCCTACTAGCAGAGGGCGCCACCTACATGTGTTTTAACTGTTTTGAAGCGTAATAACTTTTTGTCCGTACCTGTATAAAACTACCGAGTGAAAAATATACATCTCTGTGACTTTTTACGTAAAAAATACCTCTTTGTAAAAATCGCTACGAGCAACCGTTCTTAAGATATTTAGCATGGAAATAGACAATACATGGCATTATTGACGAAAAATAAACATGTTGAGTAGATAGTTATTTCACTGAAATAATAAATTTGGGAAATTTTTATTTTTTTAAATTAATCATAAATTTTTTTGCAAAAAATGATGATAAAACAGTTTCTGTTGAACTTTTGGCACAAAAATATTTCAAATTTATGATTTCAGTCTAATCACTATTTAGTCAACATGTTTAATTTATGTCAATGATGATAGGTATTGATAATTTCGATTCCAAATATCTCGAAAACCATTACTCGTAGCGATTTTTTCCAAGAGACCTTTTTTACGTAGAAAACTTCATAAATCTATATTTTTTACTCAGTAGTTTTATACAGGTACGGGCGAAAACTTATTACTCTTCAAACCAGTTAAAAAATATGTAGGTGGCGCCCTCTACTAGTAGGAGTCATATTGACATCAAAATCAAATTTCTCATGTCAAAAAACTCCCAGACACCAATTTTCATCCAAATATTGACGTTACTTTAGAAATTATTTGGAAAAATCGAAATAAAAATGAAACTTTTACACCCTGTATCTCCGAAAGTAAGCATTTTAGGACATATATTTATACGAACTTTTTTACTTATTTTTTTCCACAGAATATGCTGCCGAAGTTTCCGGAATACAATTCGGACCACCCTGTATTGTGAAGACTTAAATAAGATGTCAACTTGGGTTTATTGGGTTATTTTTACGCCGACCTAGACAAGTTCTTTAATAAATATTACTAATTAAAACAATTAAAATCAGGTCGATGTCTCGTGACATTCCACGGTGAAGTTCGAACCAAACATCGGTGATGGAAATATACTAGGAAACATTTTGATGACGCACCCGCCAATGATTGGGACGAGCAGACAAAATATAAAAGAGTATGCTGGAGACAGACCGGAGTTATTTAGATAGTCAAATGGTTAGTCAGTCAGATATTTAATTAGTGAGTTAACCAGTCAGTCAGTCAGTTGGACAGAGTCAGTCAGATGTCGGTAAAAACGGCGAATCGTGTTTCTTTAAGTGCCTACTCAGCATACTTTAGTAATTCTTGGCATTTCCATTGTTCCTCATATAGTCCTCATATTCTCATTGTATACTTTTATTTAATAAATATAGTTCTTTTTTATCCTTGTTTTGATTAACTGGACAAATTATAACATGCTACAAAACAAAATACAATAAAATTAAACATGTACAGAATATGTTGCAAAAAATAACCTGAATAGAATACAAAGAACCGTTACATTCATATTGTGTTTCTATTGTACAAAATATGTAAAACAGTACCGAATATTAAAAACATGGACTTTTTTTCAAAATTGCCAAAATTTGCTGCATTTACATTATAACGAAAAACAGATTTTATCCAACTTTTAGCTATTATATTTTGATTTGTGTTTGTTCAGCTAGTATTATTGACATTGGCTCTAAAATAATTCCTGTTTTTTAATTATTCATATTATACAGGGTGAGTTTCCTACGATGTTCTCTATGGGCATCTCGGAAACTACTGGAGATAGAGAGTCGGTTAAATGGGGAAAGAATTGCAGTTTTGCGGGGTCATAAACATGCGCCTTTCAGATTTTTGAAAAAGTTCATGGCTTACTAGATATTTCGAAAAATACAAATTTCGGCTATTTTAAAAATTGTCCCTAATTCCATTATAATCTATTTTAGACAAAAAATTTTCAGATAAAAGTTGTAGATAATCACATTCTTAATGACATTATGTCCTCCGTTTTTTTCTAAAGCCTGCCATTTTTGACATATGATACAAACATATGTTTTTTTAAATGGAAACCATAGTTGGCCATGACTTCAAAAAATGCGCCATTTTTTAAGCTTTTTAGCGATATAAGCTATAATATGTTTCTTTCAAAAAATTACTGAGTTATAGCCAATTCTTATAATTTTTAAAAAAATTCACTTAGTTAGCCATGGAAACAAGTTCAATCGTCGTTGCTCTCAGAAATGTGAAACTGTCACATCCAAACTTTATAATTTAAAATAAACAAAAATAGTAAATATAAATTTTTCAAATGAAGAAAAGCGCGTAGTATTATTGGTTTAACTTTTCTTGGCCATACATTTTCGAGGATACGTTGACCGGTGAACGTTACTTACGTTTTTTAGAAAAGTTAAATTTAGATACTTGCGCTTCAATAGTATGGTTCTAACATGACTTTCATTATGACACTCCTCCTAATAATAAAAGAAATGTTAAAAATTATTTATTCTCTTCGATGACCTGACCTATCCATTTTAGATTTTTTTTAGGCGATATGGTTAACAATAAGGGTCACAAACAAACTTATGAATTTCCACAGAACGGTTGACTACGGCCGGTCGTTAATAAACTTCTCCCGTACCGCCTCTTCGAGTACCTTTCTTAATTCATAAGTTCTTTTGTAACCCTTACTGTTAACCATACCGCCTAAAGAAATCTAAAATAGATAGGTCAGGTGATGGCGGAGGCCCATGCAATTGGTCCACCTCTTCCTATCCCTGAGTTTGCATAATTATGATATAAATAATTTTTAACGTTTCTTTCATTATGAGGGGGAGTGTCATAATGATAGTCATGTTAGAACCACTCTATTGATGCGCAAGTATCTAAATTTAACTTTTCTAAAAAACGTAAGAAACGTTCACCGGTCAACGTATCCTCGAAAATGTATGGCCAAGAAAAGTTAAACCAATAATACTACGCACTTTTCTTCATTTGAAAAATTCATATTTACAATTTTTGTTTATTTTAATTTATAAAATTTGGATGTGACAGTTTCACATCTCTGAGAGCAACGACAATTGAACTTGTTTCCATGGCTAACTAAGGAAATTATTTAAAAATTATAAGAATTGGCTATAACTCTGTAAATTTTCGAAAGAAGCATATTATAGCTTATATCGCTAAAAAGCTTAAAAAATGGAGCTTTTTAAGAAGTCATGGCCAACTATGGTTTCCATTTAAAAAAACATATGTTTGTGTCATATGTCAAAAATGACAGGCTTTAGAAAAAAACGGAGGACACAATGTCATTAAGAAGGTGATTATCTACAACTTTTATCTGAAAACGTTTTGTCTAAAATAGATTATAATGGAATTAGGTACAATTTTTAAAATAGCCGAAATTTGTATTTTTCAAAATATCTAGTAAGCCATGAACTTTTTCAAAAATCTGAAAGGCGCATGTTTATCACCCCGCAAAACTGCAATTCTTTCCCCATTTAACCGACTCTCTATCTCCAGTAGTTTCCGAGATACCCATAGAGAACATCGTAGGAAACTCACCCTGTATAGTAGAATTGATAATAAGTTTATTAATTTCATTAAATTCTGAATAGCGGAATTAAGAACTTGGAGATATGAAAACCATATTTTTGAACATTTTAACATTTACCACTGAATTTACATGTGATTTACATTCTTTTGTGAAAAAATCTAATAGAATAAATACATTATTAAGTCGGTTCACGTTTGTGATTTGCGTTAAATTGCCTTTTTTCCCTACCTTACCGTCTTTGTTTTTGTCGAGATTGATGGGTGTGTTCTGCCGAATTTTTTTAGGCACATGTCCTGGAA